GGTTTACGGTTTAGGGTTTCGGGTCTTAGTCTCTAAACCAGGCTCCAAATCGTAGCTCTTTGCAGGGGCTTGGGGCATGCTGGCAGGGTTTTGGTGCCTGGAAGCCCACACGCCAAAGCCTTGGCCTCTGGTGTCATGGGTCGTGTTGTAGAAGCTCCAAACCCCTAAACCCTTAAACTGTCCCAAACTAGCTAGAAGGTTTTTTGCCTCTTTTAAAGTAGAATCTCCTTACCAGGCAGTTTATTCTCAATACGCCCTCCTTGAAATGGATGTTTCGAGGAACTCCGACATGTGTGCCTAAACCATATAAACGCTAAACCCTGCGTAAACCCTAAACCAATCCTGGATTAAAGTTGGAATAGTTTTGGGATCTTTTGGGCTAGATTTCAATGAAATTCTGAGGGACGAAGGGGAGTTATTCTACATTATGACGACCTCCATGCTAGCTCTAAGCCCTATAAACCTTGAAACCTCTTGCAACCCTCAACCCAAAGCGCTAAACCCAAAGCTCCCAAGCCCTAAACCCTAGGCCCCNNTAAGCCCTATAAACCCTAAACCCCCTACAGCCTCAAACCCTAAGCCCTAAGCCCTATAAGCCCTAAACCCTACAGCCTCAAGCCCTCCAGCGCGAAGTCGCTAGGATTTGTTCTTCCACGCTCACCTTGGAAGGTGCGGATGCTGATACGAGCCCTCCAGCCGACGGTCGTCGCTCAGTTCTAGTTGGGGGAATAGGGTTAGGGTTTAGGGCTTCAGGTTTAGGGTTATAGGGTCATAGGGCTTGGGGTTTAGGGCTTCAGGTTTAGGGTTATAGGGTCATAGGGTTTGGAGTTGCACGGTTTTTACAGAGTTTGGGTTTCTGTGCTGGGGCGTTTTGCCAATGAGCCTCACCTCGAAGCCCAGATTTCATGTCAAGAACTCCCCGAAACCCGAACAAGTCCCCTAAACCCTAAACCTCAAGCCCTAAACCCAACTCTAAACCCCTAACTGCAACTGAGCCCTACACCTGAGAGCCCTTCTTTAAGGCATGTTTCGAAGCACCACAAGCCCGAAGAGCCGATCCAAACCGCGATCTAAGACGCCGCAGCCTCTAAAAGGACAGTTGACAGGTGTAGGAGGTTCGGGTTCGGGCCTTGTTTGGGGTTTAGGGTTTAGGNNTTAGGGCTTAGGGTATAGGGCCTAGGTTTCGGGCCTGATCTAAAAACCGTAAGCCCTACTCTCTACGAGGTTTGGGGGGCATAGGGGTTTGCAAGCATGTTGGGAAGTGTTGGCTGCGAGTGAAGTTCGCGATGGAGGTTTTTGGGCTTTAGGGTTCGGGGTTTANNTAGGGTTTAGGGTTTAGGCTGTAGTAACTGTAGTCGAGGAGGTCCTGAAGGTAAGCCTTGCACTAAACCCCATATTCCTGCCTCGCCAAAAAACCGCAAACCAAGAAGCACCATACCCCCATGCAAGCCCGTCTTGAACGAAACCCATACATACCCCGTCCATACATAGTTCTAGCCTAAACGTCCTAACCCCAAACCCTAAACTCTGAA